CTAATGCCAACCCTGTTCGCGGCTTGCCCATCTGTAATGCTTGCTTGGGCTCCACTTGGATCGTCGATTCCTTCAACCTGACCCTTCCCTTCCCAAGGACCGGCTCAGAAATGACATAGCAAGGGAATCCTGCACCGGGGAGGGGGAGGGAGAAGAGGGGGTGGAAGGAGGGCCTTTCATAGCAGTGAGAAGCCGCTAGAGGGAGAACCCGGAGGTGAGGGAAGGGGTTGGTTTTCGCCTTCGTTTCTGTAACTCAAGCCTTGTTATCACACACATACAATTATGAACTTCCCCTGAAGGGGAGAATCCTGAACAGATGGACCTGTGTCTGCAGCCTGGGAGGGAGGGAGCGAGGGAGAGAGGAAAGGCACGGCTGGAAAAAGCATGAATCATCCAAGATAAAATTGCTGACTTGGGCGAGCTCTACGCCCAAGGTGCTGTGGTGCAGTGGCTCCCAATTTAGCCTCGGCCCCACTGCAGATCGGCCTGCTTAGGAAGCGTTTCTGGAGCAGGGCAGCTCCGGAGCAGCCCGCCTGGCTTCTGCAGGAGGAGGCACGCCGTGGACCGGAAGAGCGAGGTGCGGGGAAGAAAAATCCCAACTGGTCTGTAAGGCCACTTGAGTATCGTGGGCAGAGCTGATGTGAAGGAGCCATGCACATGGGGCAAACACCACCCCAGCTTCTACAGGTAGTCCCCGACTTACAACAGTGCGTTTAGTGACCCTTAGGAGTTACAACGGCACTAAAAAAAGGGACTTATGACCATTTTTCACACGACCATTGCAGCATCCCCAAGGTCAGGTGACCCAAATTCAGACCCTTGGCAATTTGTTCATATTTATGACGATCGCAGCATCCCGGGGGGGGGGGTGTCACGTGATCCCCCTTTACAACTTTCTGACAAGCAAAGTTAAAGGGAAGCTTGATTCACTTAACAGCTGTTACTGACTTATCAACTGCAGCGATTCACTGAACGACGGTGGCAAGAAAGGTCGTAAAATGGGGCCAAGGCTCACTTAACAAATGTCACACTTAGCAACGGAAATTTTGGGCTCAACTGAGGTCGTAAGCCGAGGACTGCCTGTGCTTGAATGTACTTGTGCGCTTTTGAACAAAGCCGACTTCGTGTCCTCTTTGGGATTCAGGCCAACCCCCCTACAGAAGCATCTGTGCCCTTTTGGGAAGAATTGTTTGCCAGACTTCTGCAGGTTTTGCAAATGGAGAGGTGTGCTTTTGAAGGAGCATACCTGCCCCTTGTCTGCCCAAATTTTAGTATAAAGACACTGAAGGGGAAAAGAGGAAACCTGGAGGTGGAGATTTCAGTCACGACACAATGACACGAAGACGGACATCTCTATTAAGCTTATTGTCCTTCGATGCCAAGCAGAATTGGAAACAAGGTCAGAGCGACCTCGTTCTTGTGAGCAATTTTCCACGGAAACGAATCCGGCAAGCGAGTTGGACTTTTGAAGAAGCAGACCAGGAAGGGTACTGACAGTCCAACTTTGGTGTTAGAAAAGACTTCTGAGAATACTTTGGACGGCCCAGAAAACAAACCAATGGGTCACCCAACAAGTTGGCCCAGAGTTTTCACTCTGGGCAGGCTCCAGTGATCCAACTAAGGACACATTATGTGGAGATCTGACTCTCTGGAGAAGCTCTAATGCTGGGAGACGTGGAAAGAGAAGAGGATGATCAGCTGGGCACAAACGAAGGTTGCAATGCCAAATGGATGCAGCTCTGGAAGACCGGAAGGACCAGGTCATCATGGAGAAGGTTGACCTATCTGGTCAAGGATCAACAATGACTCGATGGCATGTAATCAATCAGGCACTGGAGTTTTGAAGTTCCAGTGCTAACTAAAACAAGCCAATGCAATGCAGCACAGTGGGAAGCAGAGGTAAAACCTGTTGGAATCCGTTCTCTGAAATTCTAGAATTAGGTTTGCTTATGCATCAGGCTAGAGTCTAGACAAACTTGCCTAGTATACCCCACAACAGCTGCAACTACAATATTGGAGGATGTTTCCAGAGGGTTCACTGCAAACACACAGCATTTTATGGTTCCCTAGGTACAAACAAGACTTGTTCTGGTGACCACTTTTTCAAACCAACATATAGTACGGTAGATGTTTAAAGCTATTTTCGACATGTTTTTTGTGCCCTCTTGTGGCCACAGAAATGGATCAGATACAAGGCCAGTTATTGCTTGGTTCTCTATTGCAGATTGTTCTCAGTTTACGACCGGTTGATTAGTAACTCGTCATGACAGACCTGTCAGAAGCTACTGATGACCCAATTTCAAAGTGATGCTAGATGCACACCCCATCATGGCGGTCTGCAGTGACTGCAGTTATTTGACTGCAAATTCTGGTGTTTTTTCCAGCTTCTGGCAAAAATTGTCACTGGGTAAAGCAGATTTGCTTAATGACGGATGCAAGAAATGTTGAAAAATCAGGTCATCAAACGATGCCTGGACTTACAACTACAATTTTGGACTCAACTGCGGTCATAAGCAGACAACTATCTATAGCAGACATGTCAAACTATAGCAGACATGTCAAACAGGCCGGATGCATCACACCAAAACCGCACCCACCCCATTGTCGGCAACGGGGAAAAAGTCGCAATACACCGCGCAACGCCGCAAGTTTGATATGCCTCATCTATAGTACATAATGTATAATGTGCATATCTGAAAACATGTTCATTGCTTAATTTTGTTTAGGACCAGCAAGAGCACCATGCCCTGAGTGTCAGGCAGGGGGTCTCCGAATTGAGAGCTCCTGTCTGCAGACGGACAACAGAGGCTCAAGAAAAGCAGGCAACTCCATAGGATTGTAGACAAATAATTCTATGGCAAAAAAGGTTAAAATTTAGATCACTGGGTATTTTGGCTTTGTCATCCATGCCCATTTTAGTTATGTGTAGAAGCCAAAGTGTTTTCAAGAGTTGATGCTTGTAAATGCAGGTAGTCCTCAACTTACGACAGTTTGCTTAGTGACCGAAGTTACAACGGCACTCAAAAAAGTGACTTACGGCCATTTTTCACACTTGTGACCGTTGCAGCATCCCCGTGGTCATGTGACTTGCATTCGGATGCTTGGCAGCCGACTCATATTTATGACGGTCGCGGTGTCCCACAGGGGTCACGTGATCCCCTCTTGCGACCTTCTGACAAGCAAAGTCACGGGGGACGCCCGATTCGCTTAACGTCTTCAGTGATTCACTGAACGACCGTGGTGAGAAAGGTCGTAAAGTGGGGCAAAACTGAACAAATTTCTCACTTAGCAAAATAAATTTTGGGGCTCAGTTACGGGTCACAAGTCACCTGCAGAGACTGAAAGGGATGAAAAATCAACTAAAAGCAGGAAGTCTCACCAAGCCACTTGAATTTGAGACCCAGCCAGACCGCAAGGCGAGTTCTAAGCTTTGCAGCCCCGGGAACCTCTTTTCCAAACACAAAGAGCAAGAAGAATAAAAAAGTACTGAAAGAAAGAGAAAATGACAAAGATCAAAATTCCCTCCCCAGGGTTCAAGTACCAATAAATAAGCAGTCACAACAGGTGTGTCTGCGTTTAAGCGTGTACAGTACTCGGTTCCCGGAACCATTCGTGCTGCTGGACAAGGAAAGGTGTCACCGAATATTTTACAATATTTATTGGAAGTGGGGAAACTAACTCTCCAGTGAGATTACAAGAACGGAGGCACAACTGGCCCAAAATGTAGCACTTATTACAATTCCAAACAAACACTTTCAAAACCAAAATGCTCCAAGTACGGAAAAGGAAACGTCCTCTTTTAGAATGAAGTCTTCCCTGCAGGCCTTCCTTCCCCTCTTTCCCCTCCTCAGAGAGACAAACATTGGCAGAGGTTCCTGTGCTTTGCAGGTCAGCACAATCCCATGTCAAATTCAGTGCTATAATCTTACCCAAAGGGGGAGGGAGAAACCCCCAAACTTGGATTTTGACAAAAAAAAAGAGCGTGTGGATATTCACAAACATTTAAAAGGGGAAGCATACCTTCTTTTTTTTTTTTTTTGGCAGACAAGGTTGCCTATTCAATACTAGCCAGCACTCATGAAACATAAAAAAGGGTTTCAATCATAAAAAAATACTATAATTCAACACCAGACTTTTTTTTTTTACAGTTATAAATAATAAATAGCATAACACAGTAGATTACAAGTGGATCTCTTTTCTGTTGGTTAAGCCTGGTTAGATCTCAAGAAGTAAATAAATCATTTGCTGTAGCCCAAACTGAGCTTAAGGTATTACAGGTTCTCCCTCCTGACTTGAAGGGAGGGAAGCTCCTTCCAGCCCAACAAGCAGGGAGCCTGTCTGGCAATCAAGCCCGTCTTGCGGCTGCTGTCTTCCAGGCAAGCCCCACGCAGCGCGGGGCAATCCCTAAAGAGCCGGGAGGACCTTCTCCCTCTTGAGCCCCTCAGCAGCCAGCAAAGAGCAGCAGGACAGCAGCACCTGGCACAAGCCCTCCTTAAATAAAAGCCTTTCCCCTCCACCCAGGTCCTCTGCTTACATTCTTCCATTCTTCTACTAGGTCTCCTAAGGCACAAACGTTGCTCAGTGCCACGGGAGACACCGACTATTTGACATATTCTGCGTGATAGCCGAAACCATTGCCCCTTGCCCCTTCCCCTCAAAATATTTTTTGCAACTGGTCATCCCTGCAGCCTTGGCAGCCATCTCTGTACAACCCCAGAAACAGCAGATGAGTTAAACCTCCTCCGTCTGCTACGGATATTCAGCTGCAACGGAGCCAGCCTTCGCAAAGTGTTCTGGCTCCCGAGGTGATGGCAGCCGCTGGTCGAACCACAAAGGGCAGTTTGCAACCTCTTCCTCTTCTCTGGAAATGAAAAAGTAGAAGATGCAACTGAGATATAAAGAAGTTCCTACCATAAAATAATTATTTAGGAGCATTGTGAATGGAGGGGAGAGGGGAAGAGGCCCAGAATGTGCCACTGTTCAGCAGAAGCAGTTCATTTTTTTTTCCTTAAATGAATTTCTAGAGCAATCTAGGTTATTCCTTTAAAAAAGCACGTTGAACAAGGACAGTTTTCTAACAATTCTCTCACTACCATCCTTTGCCTCCAGAACCCACGACCATGATAGCAACAGCGAAAGGTTTTCCCGCCTACCATTTTCACACTAATATAAATTAGGTGCTTGTCTGAAAAATTCTAAAAAGCATTGCAGTTTCTTTGAAAGCAAAGATAGTAATGATCTCAACAGATACAGGTAAAATAATGGGTTCGGTTTAAAAAAAAAAAAAAGCTGCAAAACCAGACAGCCAAAAGACCTATCTCAAGGGCTTGACGTGTTGGTTTAAAGAGAAAGATCATCAAAACCACTTGAAGAAGTTGCCAAGAATTAAAAGTCGCATTAATATTTCCACTCAGTACTTAAATCCTCAGGTCCTGGAGGATTTATTTCCCGTGGATTTTCTCAGCATGTATGCAGAGCGAGAGGGCAGAGCGGGCAGCCATTGACCCCTGGGAAAAGTCACTTGGGGGAAAGGTCGTCCATCAAGAGGAAGGAAGAGCAGGAGTTGGAGCATGCGAGGGGTGATTCCGTGGTGGTGCTGCCGCCTTTGGCCAAGGAATCGGAGGAAGAGCTGACGCTGCTGGTGCTCCCATCCAGGATCTCCGAAGACAAACTGGGGAGGAATAGGAAATAGCACACGTTTTATTCAGGTAGACCTTGGAAAAAAGGATGGGGCAACTGCCGTTTTGCAGAATGGCCCTTAAACAATATCCTGAAGGAGAATAATTGCCAGGGATGCCTGCAGTCCCAGACTGGAGAGTTAAATGGAGGGAGGAATATTACACGAAATATTATTTTATCTCGTAACTCGCGTCACTCGAGTGATTTTCATGCTTGCCACCTGCAAAGGATGCTGAGTTTGCCTCTTTTTTTTATTCAGAGTCAAGAACTGACCAGAGTGGGAAAAATCAGATGTGTCCCTTTTCAATCTAGACTTCTTTCCTGAATGTGACAGGCACAAACCCTGTCTTCACTTTATGCACCAGCAACTCATCTTTTCCTTTGCTCAAACAAGTTTGACTGAACGGCTTCTTAAGCATTTAATCCGTTCAGGCGCTCCAGCCGGTCACCTCGGCCCCACGGGGTGAATGGTTTCACTGCAAAAGGTTCGCACGTGAGGGAGACACTGAAACCCCAGCCCTGTGTGACCGACCGACCGACCAGAATTAAGATTGGTTTTGTGATTTACAAGTCTAGCTTCTTCAACTGGCAACCCTAAACTTCTCCAGCTGTCGGATTCATTTTCTCCTTCCTGCTTGCTTGAGGAGGAGCCTAGTGGGAATCTAACGCGCCGTAACGGAGAGCAAAAAGGCAGAACTCCAAAAAACGCCCACTCAACACTTTGCCCACACAGAGCCGCTGACCAGCAGTAGCTTTTCAGAGGGTCAGACAAGAGCGTGTCCCACTTTCCGAACTTCTGTCCTGGAAGCAAACATCTGACCAACACTTTGTAAGCCCTTTCTTAAATCTCAGACTCGCTTTGCTTGCTTGATCCATGAATTTCTTAGTACGGGTCATTAAAATTATGCACCCCGTATGAAACCGTGAGGAGCAGAGGCCGCAACTGCCTCGGCAGCCCATTCACAAAAAGGCAGCATATTCTAAGCAAACTTTTCTGCTGGAACAATTTACCATGAGCTGAGGTCAGTCAGGTGGGTGACATCAGGAGAAAGCATGTTTGTGGTTCCTTGGAAAAGTCTCTTTGGCTGGCTTTCGGTTTCCATTTCACCTGTGGGAATCAAGCCGTTCTTATTAAATCTGAAAAGCAAGCTTTTTAAGTGAGGCAGTCCCGTCATCTACTTTGGACAGATATACTTTGCCATGGGAGACAGAGGCAACCAGCAGGGCCCAGAAAATCAAAGCTTTGTAAGAACGAAGCGAACTAAAAGAGTTGTGCGATGAACACATAAAGGGTGCCTTATTCCTGACATCTAGCAGGTAGGAGGTGTCCCCCCAAGTCTCCTCCTGAAAAATAAGCCGTGGCAAACTACCCGGAGTACATGTCTCTTTTTCAAAAGGAGAGAGGTTAACCCTTCCTTCTCTTCCAAAGGAATTCTCTTATAACTTCCAGCAACATCCCCATTTCACATGCCACTTTTGCAGGGCTTTTCCCCCCTTCATCAAGCAGAAGAGGATAAAGAAGGTTCTACCCTCTGATTAGAAACACACAGAGAGAGAGACCATCTCCCTCACTCAGAAATCTTGTTTTGTGTGATCCAAGACCAAGTTCCAAGACTTTTTCGGCTTCTGGCTTGTTGCTGAGCAGATTTATAGAAGGCTGCTTTCGTAGCCATACTGGGGTCAGCTAGCGATCATGTAAAACAGCAGCAAAATTCAAGACTCTGTGTTTTTATGTAGGAGAAATATACTACCATTCAGCCTCTACTCCAAGGCTGGTGGCCCTGAAATCTCAACTTATTTTATAGCGCCGAAGGAATAGGCATTCTCCTTAGAACGTAGAAGAATGAGACACTTCCATCACGCAGAAATAGAGGGAGACCATTCTTAGCGCTCACAAATACAACAGCCTGTATCCAAGAACTTACACAGTTCTCTGTAAATTGAGATTACTCCTCCAGGAGGAAGTGACCGATAAAAGATGCTCTCTCCCAAATATATAGCAATGACAAGTTGAGGGAAGATCCTTGTGCTGTCTAATAGCTGATGTACTTGACAATATTCTGGAAGCATCACATACCTTTCCTTTTAACAGGACCAAGAACACTGGGCCTGATACAGTTGATTGGACTCTGACTCCTCCTGCTAAAATCAAAGTTGGAGAATTATCTTTCTAGGATGTTGAGGACTCTGAATATTGTAAGGAAACACACCCCTGAATTATTTTAAAATCAATGTCTGTTAAGATTATAATTATGTATTAGCTTCAGAAATAGAACATCCCTACTTTCTGTCAGCTTTAAAAGCTAATGTAACCAAAGGATTCTGGGAGTTGTAGTACATTTGGAAGCAACCAATCTGAACAGGGACAAGATTTCTTGTAGAGGACATACAGAGGAGCCAAGGAAGAGTTTAAGATTAAGAGGCATTTAATGTATCTAAAGTTTCACAAGTTAGATACCTGACCGAGTTTAATTCTTAAAAAAGTAAAGCTAGATTTTGCAGATTTCTACCTTCCTGTACTCTTATCTTACCCCATTCAGGAGCCTTTTAGAGATATGATGTGTAACGTTCATCATCTATTCCTGTCCTGTTAGTTCTACCTGCCAACTGGGCATGGCAACTGCCTGAGACACCATTTTGGCACTTACCAAACAAAAACTAGCAGCATAGTTTATGAACCATTTTGCAAGCTTTTCTGACAAGTGAGATGTCTACACATAATAGCAGGGCTTTTTTTCAGCCGGAACGCGGCGGAACCGCGTTCCGGCACCTTTTTCCGGGCCGGCCGCACCGGAAATAGCCCCTCCCAAATTTTACTTGCATCCTGTTCTCTAAAGGGGCGGTCCTAGGGTTTGATGAGGGCGTGGCCAGGTTTGAGTTCCGCCACCTTTTCTCCGAGAAAAAAAGCCCTGCATAATAGTATTAAAATACTATATTTTATACTATCCCTACTTTATTTCAAGATCAACATTGTATCAAGCACTCAATATATAGTTTAACAGTTCACTAGAGACAAAAGGCCAGAAAATCTGTGGCTGTTCTGAAAGATTCTGGCCTTTGGATAATCAACTAACCCAAGCTAATCTTCCTATAGGCTACAGAAACTAAACAGGTGGTTTCAACAGAGACAGATGTCCTTGTGAACTCGTAGTCACAGCAAGTTGTAGCCTTGTACAAAGAGTTGTTTAACTGCACTCGCTCTCATTTCAAGGAATGTCACGGTGGCTAAAAGCAAGTCCATGGAACGGAGGGCCAGGAGCTACAGATACTGTATAATCTGAGGACATCCACACAACCTCCGCAGAGGGAAGCATCCAGCCAGAATCCATTTTAAGACGTTCTCAATGCTTGGAGCACTGGCCAATGTTAGCTCCATTCTTGGGCGGATCCTTCCTCAGGAACTATTACAGCAGTGGAACTGTTATTTTTAAGAAGGCCTCGATACTTCAAACACATCGACTTACTTTGAAAATCTCCTCGTGGGACTAGGAATAGGGCTCGGAGGCAATCCATTGCTGCTCACAAACATTTGCAGAGAGGGTGAGAAGCATTGCTAGGAAGGAAAAGCAGATGATTTCCATGGGATTTGAAAGGACAAAAAATGAGAAATTCATCGGTGTGATTTGTGGACACGAGGGGAGGAGGAAGTGACAAAAGCAGGACAGGGTGCTACAGGTGGCCTCAGGAATCAAGCGATTCTCTTTAGTTCTGCTTCACCCACTGGGCAATTCAGACACCCTGTGGCCCCTACTCCAGATCTCTCTGACCTACCTTTCCTATACCTCTGGTGGGTGAAGGGGCTGGAGAAACAGGAATGAAGTCTATTCTCTTTGGAGAGGATGATTTTTCAGATTTGTCCAAGTCGTTGTCGCTCTGAGAACACAAAAGCATCCCACCTATGGCTTACGTGGAAGGTGGCAGCCAGAGAAGCTGAGCCGCTCTAAGGAAAAGCCAAGTGGCGAACCGGCCACTCCCCTTAAGCTACCTCTGCTCTTGCTCCTTGCATTCACTGGTTAAGTGAAGGAGTGGAATTAAAATATTAAACATCTGTAAAGAGATTACCAGGCTCAAGCTTTCTTCCCATGACTGGCTTATCTGCATTGCTGTTTGCACTTCCCTAAAACACAAAAAGGGTCATCAGTGCGACAGCAGGAGGAGAGAGGCTACTTCTAGAGAGCGTCTGAACCACACTTACCTTTCATGGGCGGCTTCTCTGTTCATCAGGTCCACTCCTTCCTCCTGGGGGAGAGGAAGAATTAATCTCTTTTCTGCCTAAATTGACTGGCACTTTATATCGGTGTCGTTAAGAGTGGAAAGGAGCAACAGGGTCAGCTGAATCGTAGTTTGCGTGGGAGAATATTCCTTCTACAGAGCACTGCCTGCCTGCACTCACAACGTTAAGTGTATCTGGCAGCTGCGTTTGCATCTAGACTGCAGGGCTCTCCAACCTTGGCAACTTTACAACTTGTGGACTTCAATTTCACCAGTTGAAGTCCACAAGTCCTAAAGTTGCCAAGGCTGGAGACGCCTGCAGTCTTTTGTGCTTTCACAAAAGAAAGCTCTAACAGTGAGAACATTTTGAGTAAGTATGATGTTCAATTTAGGTTGCCAAAAATGTCGTCATGCCAGCTAGGTTTTGAAACAGTTAAAAAGGAATCTGCAGAGAAACCCAAGATATGTTCTTTTTATGGAAGAAAGGAACCTGTTTTATTCACTTACCCTTCTGATTTGATGGAGTCGACTACTAGGGATACGGATTGGAGATGATGATATCAGCTGGAAAAAATACAATCATTTCAAAAGTCAGCAAAAATAAAAAGCCCAAGAAAACAAAACCTGCTTCCTTTCAGGAGCATTATTTTCATGTTGGAGAAACATACTACTGCCCAGCCCGTGCTTCAAGGCAGGCAGCCCTGAAAGCTCCTCATGTTATAGCACTGAAGGAATACCCATTCTCCTTGGAAGGAAGAAGAATAACAGTTTCCCTCATGCAGAACCATATTCCAAAATGACCAGTGCATTACAAACTAAAGCGTATTACTCTGTGTATTTTAACTATTTTGTAGTTAAAAATGTGTATTTTAATAAAGCACAGCTGCAGAGTTAACTATATATTTTAAAATCGGGGGGGGGGGGATTTTTGATGCTGTTGAACCTAACCCAAACTACAAATAAATTGTACACTCTGGATTTTTCAGCCTTTGGGAAGGGCACCTGCTCAGGATGTAGCCGACAACTCCATTCTAGGTCCTCTTCCCTCCTGGTCATGATGTGCCTTTAAGAGGTTCATGTGCTTGCCCATCCTGCATTTCCCAGTGCATGTATGCGCACATTCACAAATACATCCACAGGCCGATTTCTCAGTCTCCAGGAAGACTGAGAGGTTGCTATGCCCATGGCAAAGCTGCTGCCTTGGCTTCATTCCCACCCCTTCAGCTACCTAATTCCTCCTTCAGCAGCCCAGCAGCCTTCCAGGGGACTCCCATCTGCAAAACTGATCCTTGCATTATTTAGCTGCTGCCTCTTATGGGATCAAACCAAACCAGCCACTAAAGTGTGGCTTCAATATGGCAGTGTGGCTTCAGAAAGCCTTCAGTATGATCTTCACTTGCCTTGACACATGGGGGGGGGGTGTCCTTCAGTTCCAACTATCTTCTCAATTTATAGAAGCTAAAATCTTTTTGTGCCTCCCATGCACTCACCATGCTGTGTCGGTTCATAACTGTTGTGCTATTCCTGCGTGTTCGTAAGACATAAGGCTGGAAAACCTGCGAATTATCACTGAAAGAAATAAAGAATTGTTACAACTCTGCAATGGTTTTTCTCTCTTGTTTTTTCACAATTAATCTACCTTCCATCCTTCTCCAGTCCATAGCCTTTCTCTACTACACACCTTAAGTGCTGTAAGAGACACTTGTCCTTTTGGCTAGAACTGTTCTGTAGGGTGCCATGTAAACTGTCACTGCCATGAATGTGTAGGTTATATTCCTGTCATTGCCTTCTCCTAACTCCTGAGCAGATACTCAAAAGAGCTGGTTGGTTCTGTGGTTCTGCACGGGGGGGGGGGGGGGGGAGATTCACATCTTGGTAACTTCCATTGCAAATCTGAAGATTGGAACAATTTAGGTCACTCTGGCCGGGGAATTCTGGGAGGAGTTGAAATCCACACCTCTCAAAGTTGCTGAGGTTGAGAAACACTGATCTAGGCCAACCTAGGCCACCTCAACATGCCCTCTGATAATGAAACACCTCGCTGCTTTAATTATACATCATCACCATCATCATTATTGGTTTTTGTCTTTTGCTCTTTGCAGTTTGCCACTCGCACTTCCTTTGGGGAGGTGCAGACACCACCCAGGTGAGGCATGAAAAACGTTTCCTTGTGTGGTCACCGTAAATCCGCCTTTCCTAAGATTTCATTGCGTTGTTTTCGCTGCATTCATTGCACTGAATTCCTGGGGCAGGTGTGCACGGAACGGGGGGGGGGGGGGGGGGGGAGGCGATGGCCAGAAAAGGCTGGGAGCTGCCAAACGGCCGGTTCATCTCCAGGTCAGCCTTCTCGGCACCCCTGCAGGCCCCTGGCAAGGCCCCAAAACACCTTTTAAAATGTCTCCGTCTCGACAGACCCAGCCGCCCGAGCCTCCCCATCCAGGGCGGCCTCCTCCAGCCTGGCGACCGCTGGAAGAGACGCCCCTCCTGCCTCAACCCGGCACGGCTGGGCACCATGGGCCTTGTAGTCCGCTCAGCTGCCAAGAGGGCGGCCGGCTCAGCTCCCTCCGCCTGGACTGCAGGGCCCATCCTGCCCGGCTCTGCCTCCTCCCCCTCGCTCGCTCCGGCGGCGGGGGCGGATGGGTCCGGCAGTCACCTGAGGCCGTGGATGAGCGGCGCGCTGTTGGAGCGCCTCAGGCCGCCGCCGTCGCCGCCGCTCCCGGCCTGGGGCAGCTCCAGGTCCAGCTCCATCTTCTCGGCCTGGGCCATGGCGAGGGCGGCGCTCAGCGAGGAGGAGGAAGGCCGCCGGCCCTGCTCCGGCTCATGCCCGGCGGGGCGGCGGGGCGCGGCGGCGGCGGGGCCCGACGAAGGCCTCAGGCCGCCTCCCCCGGCCGCTCCGGCTACTGGCTCCGTGGGCGCGGGCCGGGGCGGTGCAGCGGGAGTCGGCAGCCCCGGCGCCGACGGCGCCCCATGCCGGGGGAATCACGGGGCGGCAGCAGCGCCCTGCCTCTTCGTGGCCGCGGCCCGGCCTGGCCCGCCCGGCGGCTCTCTGAGGGAAGGCGGACGGGGGGGGGGAGGAAGTGCGCGCGCCCGCCCGCCCGCGCCTGCGCGGTGACGGCGGTTGCCAAGGCGGTGGCAGTAGCGGTCGGGAAGGAGAGGCGAAGGAGAGTAGGCCCCTCGGCACTCCTGCGCCTGCGCGACGGCCGCTCGATGCGGCTCAGGCGGGATCCTCGGCCCCGCCCCTCCTCTCCCTGCGGGGCGGGTGTGTAAAGAGAAAGAGACGAATCCGCTGTCGGCGTCACACTGGCTCCACCTTTTCCCTCCGCCGCGTTTGGCCGAGCCGGGAGAGGAGGCGCTGATTCGCTGCCTTCTACCGACACTCCGCTCCGATGAGCCAATCGGCGGAGCGCTTTAAGCGGGAGCGGTCCGGGAACGTTCTTTTTCCCTGGTCTTTTTTTTTTTATTATTATTATTCTTTTTGGCCCGTTTTAGGTGGCGGGTTCAAATCCTCCTTGCAGCGTTTAGCGCGGGTCTTTTTTCCTTTGAAACAATGCTGCGAGTCGAATGGCGTAGTTGTCGTTTTTCGCGCTCTTCTGCGAAAGCGGTTCAGCTCAATTAAAGAAGAAGGGCAGGTAGCCTACCTGAAAGGTGCGATGGCCAGAAAGGCTGGAGTCACACCCCGTCCGAAGTCGTGACCCCAGTGGCTTGGTTCACACGTGTACAGCCTCACTAGCAGGCTTCGCCTTCTCAAATCATAGCTAACAACCCGTGAGGAAGCCTGACAACGCTGATGAGCGAACAATGCCTCCTGCAATGTGCTTAAGCGTGGCTGAGCTGTGGTTTGTCCTTTTTTAACACTTTTATTGACAACTTACAAGAATAAAATGGGGGTAAAGCACACGTGCAATTAAAAATCTTCAAGTTTATTTTGTTAAGACAATAAAGAAAAATAGGATTAGCAAATCCTAATAAATAGGGAAAGGATTAGGGAAGAAACCCCAAGGAAAAAAGATAAGGGAAAGCCCTTATATATTGAAGTGGTCAATCCCTGAATTACTAATAAGTGCCCTGTGCTGCTATAATAATGATCAATATAAAATGTTACTCTAAAATATATCAAAATCTCTGCTACAGTTGTACATAAATGCTTCATCCTTTGATGAAGTCTTTTCCAACATGGATCGATCTCACGTCCCTCAGAGCCATTCCTGAAGGTTTAGAAAGGAGAATTCGGCTTGTAAAATCTTCCCAACCGGGTCATTCTCTCCACCTGTGCCCTAACCCACAGAAAGGTTGGTTAGTGGTATAAATTATTATAAATTATAAGTTATTTTGGTTAGTGCTTGAATTGGTGAGTTACCTCCTACCGCACAATGCTTTTGTTTCTTCTTGAGGTGATGGTTGTCTACAGATGGTGCCAAGAGGTGTTTTAAGCATTTTTTTAAAAAGTATAATTAAGAGGGTTTGTGCAACATTCAGCTGGGCCCATTGGTCGTGGGTGACTGGCTGGGGGAGGGCAGTGGAGGAGGAAAACTGCCTGTAAATGGCTGAGGCGAGTGGCATAGGGCGAAGCAGGTGTGGCCAAGGGCCCGTGCCTAAAGATCCCATTTCGCTCCTGAGGGGGGGGAGGTATTTCAGCCCCTGAGTTACCACTCTGGGACACTCGCCCTGAATGAGGAGGTGGCCAGTCGGCTCCCAGGCTCATTCGGCCCCTGAGCAGACACTCTGTGAGACTCACACTGGAAGACTCTCTGGGGTCGCACTGGGAGACCCTTTCGGTCCCTGAGTGAGCAGCCAGGGCGAATCACACTAGAGGAGACGACAGCCCCCGGCTGGAAGCCTCTCCCAGTCTCTGAGGATCCCCAGCTGAGTGTCAAACTGGAGGAGAACCCCTGTGGCATGAGCACAGGTGAGTTGATGGAGTGCCAAGGGTCCATGCCTAAACAGGAGGGTCAGATATGTGCGCAGGTGGAATCAGGAATAGTGCATCTCTTTTGACTCACTTGTTTCACAGACTGCACTGAGAATGATCATCATTGGTCATATGTGAAATTTGATATTATCTACCAATAGCAACAGATAGCATTAAAATGTGTAGTGTGATGTGTTAATGAAAGTCTCTTACAGCTTCAGCGATTCTTCTAAAAGTCAGTTGTGATTGACTTGGTGAAGTAGCATTCTTGATGGAGATCATATTCATTCTTGCCTTCCATTCCTCCTTCTTCCTTCGACGCTGCAGGTTGACGACTGACTCTTCTGTCTTCTAAGGTGGTGCAGAGTACAGGCCTTTGTGATAAAAAAAAACCCTAACATTACTTCAGATGCCATTGGAGGTTTACTCCTAAGAATGCACAGTACACAGTGGTTACTATGTCCTCAGACACAGGTGTTATACTTATCTAGGCATAAGGGAAGTATTGGAAGACATCCACCTCCCTCCATATCCTAAAACTTTGAAGAATACAAGATTCGGCTAAAGTTACCTCACAGCGTAGGAGGCCACATCTCAGCCGAAGGCTAACAGGGCTTGAGCTGGAGACATCTTCTTTCCTTTTGTTTCTTCCTCTGCCGTGCCCAGCAAGTCTTGTCTCTTTCGAGGAACCTTTGGCAGCAGGTGTGCCATTGTTCCTCCCCTCAACCTCAAAGACTGCAAAATATTCTATACATCAACGGACACACCTAGCATTAAAAAGGGCCGTTGAGGTTTGCTTTCTGGGTCTAAGAACCATCGCCATGGCTAAATTGACGCCAGGCAGAAAACTATAAAATCTATTACGAAGTACTGGCCACACTGGACATTTAAAAGGGCCAGTGAGGTTTTCTTTCTGGTTCTAAGAACCCTTGCCATGGCTAAATTTACGCCAGGCAGGAAACTATAAAATCTATTACCAAGCACTGGCCACACACTGGACATTTAAAAGGGCCAATGAGTTTTTATTTCTGGTTCTAAGAACCCTTGCCATGGCTAGGTTATGCCAGGCAGAAAACTATAAAATCTATTATGAAGCACTGGCCACACTGGTCATTTAAAAGGGCCAATGAGGTTTTCTTTCTGGTTCTAAGACCCATCGCCATGGCTAAATTTACGCCAGGCAGAAAACTATAAAATCTATTATCGATCAACAGCCACACGTAGGATTAAAAAGGGCCATTGAGGAGGGTGTTTTGGTTCTACTAACCATCGCTATGGCTAAACTTACAGCAGGCAAGAATGGTCTAAAATCTATTATCTAAAGGTCAGTTGTGATTGACTTGGTGAAGTAGCATTCTTGATGGAGATCATATTCTTGCCTTCCATTCCTCCTTCCTTCGACGCTGCATGTTGACAACTGAGTCTTCTGTCTTCTAAGGTGGTGCAGAGTACAGGCCTTTGTGATAAAAAAAAACCCCTAACATTACTTCAGATGCCGTTGGAGTTTTACTCCTAAGAATGCACAGTACGCAGTGTTTACTAATATCTCAATTTCAGGTGTTATTTACCTAGGAAGGACCATCAGTAGTGGAAGACATCCACCTCCCTCCATATCCTAAAACTTTGAAGAATTCAAGACT